AAAAAAAAAAAAACCAAGAAAGCCCAAATATATATGGTCTAGCAAACAGATGCTTATTAATAAGAAAGGAAAAGTAAAGAGAGATTCATTCTACTCACAGGAAGTCCCTGTTTTCCCGGTAGCCCAACTTTTCCAGAGTTTCCTGAAATGCCATCAGCTCCCTGGTATCCTTGCATGCCTTTTGGCCCAGGTAGGCCAGGAAGACCCTTGGTAGTCAAAAATTAAGTGGATTATAGAGAGATGCTGTACAAATGTTTAAATGACAAATACTTGTATATTTGGGTATATTTTTAATACCCCACCCCCGGATAAATTTTCCTGTTTCCTTAATTCTTTTTTGGGTTCAACAGATCAGGTTAATTTTCTTTAAAAGTTCCTTAAATAGAAATGCCAAGCTAACTAAAATGTACTGTGTAAGCTTTTGAACTTCAGTGCAATTCTCTCGTATTTTTCATTATGCTGGCCTCTGCTCTATCCAGCTACGGAGAAAAGTCAGCTGTATCTTCACCTGTCAGTTTACGACACAGCTATATTTTACCATCAGCAAAACCTCATGCTGTGTTATTTTCTCAAGAAACAAATTATGGTTCTTTTTGTTGCCACTCTGAACTAGATAATTATATGACTGCATAAAGGTCTGAACATTTTGTTTCTACTCTTGGGCAAGTAGATTTTATCTGTATGAATCTCTGATCTGAATGTGTTTATAATTTATGTTCATTTACTTTTCTTTTTTTGAACCAACGCAGGACACCCAAAGTGGGCATCTAGCCCTTGGCTACGGAAGCCCAGCAGGAAGTAAGTCTTTGCTAATAAGCCAGTCAACACATATTTGCTTGGCCAGAGGAAACTGATGGCTAAGGTAAAATTAATCCTTGTTCTGTGATGAAATGATTTAAAACATTTTCTTCTAAGACTTTCTGTTCTACTTGCCCGGAAACTGAGAGGATATGTCCTTCAATTACAGTCCAGCTCATGCTTTTTGTTCATGCTTGAGGATCTCTGACCTTTGTCACCAATCATTTAGTCATATTTCAAGTTCCCTGTTTTCAGTCAGGATCAGAGAGTAGGATGAGTCCACAGAGAGAGCTCCCTAACACTGGAAAATAGCATCCTTCAATTGCAGAGACTTATATTTAAACAGCAAGCTTGGTTTTGAGCTAATGGTCATATTTTGTTCCCTGTGTTCCAGCTCGAGCTTAAATTTTTTTTTTTGAAGACAAGCTGATTTATCCAACACTTGTCACAATTGGCCCCAAACTTTTCTGCTTGCTGAAGCTGCCAATTCTATTTAGAAAAACAAGAAAGATGAAAAGGGCCTGCTACTTACAGGAATCCCAGGTTTCCCAGAAGGACCAGGAGCTCCTTTTTTCCCCCTAGGGCCCTAAAAATGTGAAGCACAGTTGTCACTTAATTGTAATAAACTTAACTAAGCTGAAGGCATAGAAAAGAACCCTGAGACGGGGATGCTGCAGCCAGTCCTGCCTAGTCCTGGCTAGCTGTACATCACCGAGATTTCCATTTAACTTCCCGGGAGCCATTTTCTTCATATGAAAATGGGAGAATTTGACCAGATAATTTATGAATTTCCATCTAGCTCCAAATTCTAGGATTTGAGAATTTAAGTCTTGGCTCTAAAAGGGAATTAAATATTAGTTAATAAATGTCCATGTTGTCCGACAGGGCCTTTGTCTTCCTATTGAAAGTGGCTAAGTGCTTCACTAATTTCATAAACATTTATTGACTATTTTGTATGTGCTGGGGATGCAAAGTCAAAGTTACTGATCTCAAGGCACTCACAGTGTAGTAAGGGACATGAATCAATAGCCTAAAATGTGCTTATCTGGAAGCACGGAGAAGAACATACTTGTGAATCAAAGAAAAGATATTTATTTCCCACGGAACTCTTTGTTTTTCCATGTGTGAGATGTTTTAAATCATAATTGATTCAGCAGTAACTGGTCTGCCAGGATAGTTAGGAACTTTGCCCTTTGCGAATCATGCCATTATTCTGATGATATCCTAAAATTATTTTAAAAAGAAAAATGTGGAAAAGAGTGACCTAGTTCACAAATAAGAAAAAGAGGCCTATTGTCATTACCACATTTCTCAGAAGTCATCGAAAGTTCTCACAAACAGAATAATTCCACCAAAATGGGATGTTATGTTATTCAAATTTGAAGATAAATTGTGCCAAAGATGCAAACTGACAACAATAACAAAGTAAGTAAGTTCATAACATATTACATCCTCTGAAAATGATCTTAACATTTCAAGAAGAAATAGTATATGCAGTCATAGAAAAAAAGGGTATTTTTCTGTAAGAGATAAAAATCCAACTTTGTTAGAATTTGATAGTGGGGAGGTATATGAACTAAGAGTTCTACCTCCCGCTTGGAAAACTATTTTACTCGCCTTAAAAAGTCACTAATGTAAGGTCCTTCTAAGGATCAGGAAACCAGGAAATGAAACAGTAGATGATTTGACTTTAGTTGAAGAAGATGCAATTCCTGGAATAATATGATCTCTAAAATACAATATATCTTTTAGAACAAAATAAGGAAATAAAATAAACAAATAAGATTTTAAATATTGAAAAAACTGTGATTTCAGTTATCTCTAACATCACTAATTAAATAGTATATGAACTGTGATAATATTCAAATATGTTAACCAGAGTGTCTTTTTCCTTTACAGTATTTGTTTTTATGCAAAGTGACAGATCTGTTCTAGATTTTAGATTTTCAAAACAGACTTTTCCTTAGCTTATGAATTTCAAAATAGTCCTCTGAAACTCATGGTGGAGTAATAACTTTAGAAGGATATAATATTTTGGGAAGAATATATTTTTAAATGCAAAAGCCTGGTTCTTAAATATTTAAAGCCTATATTTGAGTATCAAAAACCAAGGTGACAAAGAATTCAAATCATGCATTTTGCCATAAAGAACAGATTTAGAATTATAATAGTATAAGAGAAAATTTTTCCTACTTAAGGGGATATAAAGATGTTCAAGTTGGAGAAAAGTAAGAAAAGAAGTAAAAGAGAAGCAAGACTGTTCAACCCTGACAGGGATCTCTGAGAAGGGCCCTTTACACCTCACTCTGCCCTCAAGTCCTAGCTTGGGTAGAAGCAATACCCTCAGATAAGTGTGGGGATTTGGGCACAGAGACAATGGCTAGGGAGACTAAAGTCTTCATTTAGAGGCCCACATAAACTACACTGAGTGTTAGCAATAGAGTAGAAATTTCTGTAGGAGATGTCTACGCCAGTGGGCTTGAGAAAGTCTGAGTCCCCCAAGCACCCAGCATGGCATAGGAATTAGAATGTATTTCCACGTGGCCAAGAACAGAAGCATATAGTGGTAAGGGCCTATATAAGGAGACTTTGTACATTTTCTATACTCAGAAAATAGCTGTACATGTCAGCAAGGTAGGGCCTTGGTAGATGTCAACATGGTGGGATCATAAGCAACTGGGGATATACATGGATAATGTGCATTTCAGTGTATACTATTGTAAATAGATGACTAAAGACCAAATTCACCTTCCATTCCTCTTCCCCACCACGGCTACCCAGAATGTAACTGCAAACTTGACAAGAGAGTGAATAGGGAAAACTCTAAATCAAATGTAGGATATTTGTGTGGATGGAGTAAAAGGCACTCAACTGATTAGATTTCCACCAATTAGGTTTCTACCACCAGGAAGGATGGGCACTCAGGACAGATGTTAAGTTCCATTATAAAGAACACAAAAAACAAAGTCTTATTTTTAATATACCTGAGTTTACGTCTTATGGTTCAGACATACTACACATGTAAGTAAGGGTTTTACTCCAAATGTTCATATAACAAAATAAAAACAAAGAGATTCACATATCATCACAGATTGATTACATTTTGGGATGACCATTATGTTGGGGATTATTTCAGAAAAGTTAAATGTTGTGTACTGAAATCTACATGTATGGGTCTATTATCATGAAAATTAGAATGGTATTCAGACTTGGATGGGCATCAGGAAGCAGCTCCCAATAGAATAACATGAAAGGGAAAGTATGACTATGAAGTATTTTTTGCTACTTGTAATAGGACAATTGTGGCAAAATCTGTCTATTGAAGACAAAAAGTGTTTAGCAAATAACTAAACTATAGTCTCTGCTGTTTTGAGATGTTCAATTCAGGAAAGATTTCTTTATTACAGTTATTATCATCATACTATAAGGAAGTAGGCCAGCTAGAAAAAAAACATAGTCTTACAATTAAGATTTTAAAAGTATAACAAGATCAACAGGGGCGCCTCAGTCGTTAAGCGTCTGCCTTCGGCTCAGGTCATGATCCCAGGGTTCTGGTATCAAGCCCCACATTGGGCTCCCTGCTCAGCAGGAAATCTGCTTCTCCCTCTCCTACTTCCCCTGCTTGTGTTCCCTCTCTCGCTGTCAAATAATAAATAAATAAAAGTCTTAAAAAAAAAATAAAGATCAACAAAGTGTAGAACATTGATAGAAGGTAGTCCAATTCTTTTGATAATGGACATTTTAAAATGTGTCATTATAGTCCAAACCCTTGTTTGCTTTTTATTTAAATGAAACTGAAAGACAGTTACCTCAATACTTTGCTTGTTCTAACTTTGTTAGAGAGGATAGCTTTACAATACAAACATAGATTTAGAGTTAGGCAATAATTACTCTTTTTCTCTTCTTCTTTTTTTTTAAACCAAGAAATTTCAATTCACTAAAATCTGGAATTTTGTTTTGGAAGAAAAATAAGATATTGGCTTGAGTCTTAGTCTTTGAAAGCCATTATAGGACAGTTCACTACATCTGAATTAAAAAAGTCTTTGAAAATGTGGTGGTTGTGCAATCGGCTTTGATTTGCTCTTTTTCTCTACACATGCATGAGAATGCATGAGAGCCCAGTGAATAAGTTAGTTGGTTAAGTAAGATTAATCATATTTTACTTAACTTATAAAAGATCTCAAAGTAATAGAAGGCTTTTGTATAACATTGAGAGTCAGGAAATTTCTAGTGTTGGTTCTGTTGTTAACTAATTCTGTGATCTTAGGTAACTTTCTCTGAAATTCAAATTTCTTCATCTGAAAAATGAGAGGGTGGTCCAGATGATTTTAAAAGGCCATTTGCAAACCTAAAAAACTTTGCAGCTTTGCAAAAACAAGATGACAACAATTGGACAAGATCCACCTGACCACTGAAGGTGTCCCTACTGAATAATACATGGTCAATGATTATTCTTGTAGCAACTATGACTATTTTAAATTCTAAGAGGGTTTTTAATGTAACCTTGAACTGTATGCCAGCATTGCCCAAAGCAGGATAGAACTAATTCCCTTGGATTATACAGAATTTAAACCATGGCTTCTCAGCATCTTTTGGTTCTAATACACAGGGAGAGTTGACCATGGCAGGTGGATATGTAGTTTTCTGGTGAGAATATTTAAATTTCATTGACATAATTTTAATAGATACTAATAAATACTTTAAAAATTTCTTCTTCCTGACATATGTCAAAAAAGAAAAAGAAAATACTGAGAATATGAAAGTACTGATTGTAAGAGATTAGAAATTTTAGGATCAAACCTTGGGAGCGCATTTGCATCCTTAGGCACTTAATGCAAATATAAGGAAGTAGTAGTGTTCTAGGTTCATAGCTTTTTCCACTATTTTTTCCAATTTGGGTATTAAAAATTGTAAGTAAATGGGACAATTACTTGAGAAAAGGTTTTCTCTCTGCATTTTTTTCTTGTTAAGACTTGCCTTCAATGGGATACTTTTATTTTTTATTTATTAGTTCTTATTTATTAAGGAACCTGACAGGGATTTACTAGGTAGATGTCAAGACTATTCAAAATGGCTGTAGGTGAGTGAGCACCTATGTAATATCAGATTCAACCCAATTTTACTACTTACTCCCACAAGTAGGAAACACAAAGTATGGATGAAGACTTAACAAATTAGGAGAAATGTGGTCTCAAATTGATTACTTTTTATCCATTCTCACCTAATTTATTATTAAAATATGGTACGTTTTCTTAAGAATTTAATTTAAAATCAATAGCAGGTGAAATCAGAATGCTATGAAAAGCAAGGCAGCAATGAACTGATGGTACAAATTACAAAGCAAGTTATAAGGCAACAACCTTCCGTAAGGTTGAGGCAACATCAGTGCGCAGGAAAAGAGATGCCTAAATTCAGTAGCTAATACATTTGTAGTTTATTTGGTAACAGATAATTGGCTTGTCTTGTGGAAAAGAATATTTTAAACCAATTGTGAGTCTGTGTCACATAGTCAAACTATTTCTACCTGTATCCTTGCTACGACAAAACAGGTTTAACTGATAGGTTTTCACTTTTCAACGCTGGTTTTAAGGCTTATTTGTATTTTTGCTTGAAACCCCAAGGAGAGACCATTCGTTTCGGACAACTTTGGGCAATTTTCACAAAGCCAGAAAAGGCTGCTGGTAAAGGGAAATTGGGATGGCAGTCAAAACACATGAAATAGTCAATGATCATGTTTTCGTGCCATTATTGACAAACACTCTGATCAGGGGCCTGCAGTGATCCTCTCTCTGGAAGTGTTTAAAGGAACGATCCTTTAAATGACAATGAACAGCAGCTCCCCTGTTCCTGCCTTCTCAAACAAACCACAAGTACCAAATTGTCTTCAATAGTTTCAACTTACTTCAGATCGTCTCTCTCCTTTTAGTCCTTGTTCACCTTGGTCACCTGGCTCACCCTTTAATAGGAAACCAAACAGAAATCACGTACGAAGCAGAGACTAAACAAGATATATAAACACTAATTTTTTCAATGCCAGAATTGCAAAGAGTGTTTTCAAAACATACTGGGGGCCCTTGGTGTCCAGCAGCACCTCTTGGTCCTGGTAAACCCACATGACCCTAGGAATAGAAAAGATTGTATTATTAAAATAAATAGAGACATGTAACTTAGAGAATAGGGTAGTATCACTTAGAATGGTAGCAAAATGTTACAAAGTGCAATTTAAACATCAGGAATTATGATTCTCTCTCTGAAATGTTATAGAACATAATATCCATTGGATATTATGATAACCGAGAAAGAGTGTAAAGTTGTGCTTTATTTTGCACATAGGTTAATGTAGTGGGGTGAATGGTGGCCCACCAAAAGATGTCTATGTCTTAATCCCCAGAACCTGTGAATATGATTTCATCTGGAAAAATGGTCTTTGCAGATATCATTGAGTTAATGATTTTAAAAAGACATTATCCTGAATCGTCTATGACAAGTACCCTTAAAAGAGAGAGATACACACAAACAACAAAGGAGAGGGCCATGTGAAGACAGAGGCAGACACTGGAGTGATGTAGCCACAAGGAGCACTGTCAGCCCCCAGAAGCCAGAAGAGTAAAGGGAGGATTCTCCTCTAGAGCCTGTGGGAGGGAAGACGGTCTACTAACACCTCAATTTCAGATTTCTGGTATCTGGAACTATGAGAGAATAAATTTCTATTGTTCTTTTTGTTGTTGTTGTTTTTATTTACTTATTTTTTATTATGTTACGTTAATCATACATTACATCATTAATTTTTGATGTAGTGCTCCATGATTCATTGTTTGCATATAACACCCAGTGTTTTAAACCACCCAGTTTACAGTAATTTTGGTCAGGAAACAAGTACAGTAAATAACCATAGGAATAGAGAGTTTGAGAACAAATTTCTTTCTTCAACCTATTCCCACTGTGGAAGTGAACTATGGTCTCCATTTTTACAAACTAAATTCATACCATTTGGATAGATTTATTGAGTTGAAAACTGGAAGTTGTTACTCTATATAATGCCAAGGCACATCAAGTGACTTTGATATTCAGCAATCTGTCATTACCCTAGTCCTCCTAAGAAGGAATGCTGACCTACCACATTTCGCTTTTCAAGTGTGTAAACAGAAACCAGCAACAACCCAAGGGCACGTCAGGGTATGCACGAAGAATTCTGCGTGTAATCTCTTTTATCCCCTTCCCTCCTGTCCTCTTTGTTTCAGATTATTTCTCCGTACTCTCTGTGTACTACAGAAAGAATGCCGTAGGCTCATCTGTTTTTCTGGGCTAGGAGAAGTAAGGATTGCCTACATAGGCTAATGAATTTATCTCATAGAAAGGTCAGTTAAAGCCTTCTTTGTTTGCATTCTTTGAGGCAAGTGTTTATGGTTTTAAGATCCAACTTCCTGATTAAAAGAAAAAAAAAAGGAATCCTGTTTAAGACAATGAACAGTGGCAAGAGGGAAAGGCTAGTTTGGAAAGCTTTCTATAGAACGTGGCCATAACTAAAGAGAGTACCATGGCCTTACCTGACCAGAATCAGGTCAGTCAAGAGGAAGTTTGGTAAAGTAAATATGATGATTATAGGTCATTTATTAAGCAGAACTCAGGAGAGAAGTGATTGGTGAAAAGCTGGAGTTACAAAGTGCAGTGAGACCGAGCATACGAGCAAACTATAAAACTCAAAACCATGAATGGCCAATTGTGATTTTGCTACCATTTTTGTCTGTAGTTTACAGGGACCCTTTTTAGAATGATCATAGAATAGCCAATTGCTTCTCTTGGTTTTGTGAAGTCTGGATACAAATCTCACGAAAAACAAATATGCTTTCTAGGAGTTTCACTATAATTCCTCCGGTTCTTTCTATTACAATAAAAATCGACAAAGGCCATTTTTTCTGCAGTGTTGAAAATTAAATTAATATGCTGTAGTAACTATTATTATAAAGTCAGGTAGGCAAGGTTATGGGAAATGACTGACTTTGCCTAATGATACTAGTGGTGGGATGAGCTAAATGGCCAAGGGGAGCTAAGATGGTCAAGGATTTTATAAGGGAAGTGATGATAAGCTGAATCTTAAAGGATGAATGTTCCAGGCAGGAAAGTAAAAAGAAGACATTCTGGCAGAGGAGACAGCATGGGAGAATAAATGGAGATTCATCTGACAGAACATGTTAAGAGGAGAATGGATTTGAGAGGGCTATCACTGGGGATAGGGAGTCTACTTAGGAAGTTATTAAAGTAATTCAGACAAAAATGATGAAACCTAAACTAAAGTAGGGCAAAGTGGCTAGATAGCAGAGCTATCTGAGGTCGAAAGGAGTGGCCAAACAGATTTGAGAGATGAGAGGAGAGAGAAAGCAGTGAGAGGAGGAGGGAAAGGATGAGAGAGACAAAGAGACAGAAAGAAACACGGGGAGAGCAATAGACACACACAGAGAAAAACAGACACACAGAGAGAGCAATAGAGAGAGACACAGACCTAGACAGACAGAGAGAGAGGGATGATTCATTTATTGGCTTGAACACCTTAATGTCTGATGGTAGCATTCACTGAATTGGGGACATAGAAAGAAGAGGATCAAATTTGGGGAGGATGATGGAACTGTTGTATAGGACATATTGAGGTAGAGGTGCCTGTGATGCTATCCAATAGCAATTTGGATATGCATGCCTGACGCTAAGGAGTGATGACAACTGAGGACTTAAACATTGTTCTTTTATTGTGTGCAAAGATGTTATGGACTTTGTCAAACCAAAGTGGAATGGAGTTTGAGCTAGAACATAAGTTATTCAATGTATTTCTAGGACTTCATCTCATACAAGTGTAGTCTGACTTCATCTTGGGTATGTGTATGTTTCTGCCCATAGCTTTAAAAAGCCAATGTTGACAGTATAATATGCATATTCCCACTATGTACTCTGGCTTTCTCAAGCCTCAGATGAATTTATCTTGACCTATGGAATGTATAGCTTTCTGGATGACAGCTATAATTTACTATATCTGTTTTTATACTGATTAAATGTTCTTATTCTCTATGTCTTCTGCATATGATGTCCACAGAGGTAAGGACTGTGCCCGGGGTGTCCAGTATTAAATTCATGGCACCTAGTTCTGCTCCTGGCCCATGGCAGACATTCAAAAATATGATGAGAGACCAGAGATGTTACTATGCATGACACATAAGATCTGTCATGTATAATAATGCCTAATGAGTATTTACTGATGACAATGAGCAAGACACATGACTTTTATAATTCTGTTTCTTCAAAAGGAAAAAAGAACAAAGGATGGTGAAAAAGATTTTAAAAAATTTCTAATTGTTCATAGCCAAATGGAAAGAAAACCTGCATTATCCATTCAATTTTTTAAAAAGGTTTATTTATTTATTTGAGAGAGAGAGAGGGAAAGAGAGTGTATGCCTGCACACGAGTGGGGAGAGGGACAAGGGGAAAGAATCTTCAAGCAGACTCCCTGCTGAACGCAGAGCTCAACGTGGGGCTCTATCTCATGACCCTGATATCATGACCTGAGCTGAACCAAGAGTGGGACACTTACCTGAGCCACCCAGGCACCCCCATTCCATTTTTTTTTATCCAATAGGCTAACCTTGAGTTCACCACAATTGTAAGAATATTTGTGAATATAAAAATGTTTTTAAAAAGGTTGGTGATTATTCAGTCATAAAAAGGAATGAAGTACTAATACATTCTACACTGATGAACTTTGAAAACTTTATGTTGAAAGAAATGAAGCCAGACACAAAAAGCTATATATTGTATGATTCCATTTATATGAAATATCCAGGATAGATAAATCAATAGAGATATAAAGCAGAGTAATGGTTGCCAAAGGCTGGGAGAAATACAGAGTGACTGCTTAATGGGTATGGTGCTTCCTTTCGGGGTGATGAAACTGTTCTAAAACTATGTAGTGTGTGATAGTTTTCAATAATGAGAAGGTACTAAAAATCTCTGAATTGTACACTTTAAAATGGTTAAAATGGGGGTGCCTGGGTGGCTCAGTCTGTTAAGGATCTGCCTTCAGCTCAGGTCATGATCTCAGGGTCCTTGGGATCAAGCCCCACGTTGTCGGGCTCCCTGCTCAGCGGGGAGCCTGCTTCTCCCTCTCCCTCTGCCCCTCCCCCCGCTTGTGCGCTCTCTCTCTCTCAAATAAGTAACTAAAATCTTAAAAAAATAAAATAAAATGGTTAAAATGGTATATTTTATATTACGTGTGTTTTTTTTAAAGATTTTATTTATTTGAGAGAGAGAGAGAGCACAAGCAAGGGGGAGCAGGCAGAGGGAGAAGCAGGCTCCCCGTTGAGCAGGGAGCCCGATGCAGGACTCGATCCCAGGATCCTGGGATCATGATCTGAGCTGAAGGCAGATGCTTAAACGACTGAGCCACCCAGGCAACCCTATTATGTGTATGTTAGCACAATAAAAAAGAGGGCTTGATGATAATGCTAACCCTCATTTTACTAGAGTGAAAGGATAGTATATACATTTTAAAATTACAGAAAAGCAAACATTTAAAAATTTCACCTGAGGCTACAACAGAATAATCTAACTCTAAATAAAGCATGGTTCCCCTGCATGAATCAGACTTGTGCTTGGGAAAACTTGGCAGGGGACAAGTGCGGATATTTCATGGCTCTCAGATGTCTAAGCAATAAAATTATTGTGGCTGTCTGGTTCAAGATGGCTTGTTTAGAATAAAACCAGCAACAAATGAAAAAATGACCTCTAAAACCTATAGGTTAGACAAAGGATAGAATAAGACAGAAAGGAAGATGTGGATCAAACTAATTCATGAAATATCCACAAGTGAAAACTTTACTGAGAGTATTTGTGGAATGAGGAAGGAGAAATAGATTCTACAGTAGGCCTAGGAAGAAGTTCTCAGATGAAGGATTTCTGAATAAGGTGTGACTATCCAGAATAAGGCAGGCAGGGTTTTTCTTCTGCTAGTCCAGTGGAGATTCTTTTTTTTCTTCCAAAAAAATAGTTACCTGTTTGTTTGGCAGTAAATTTGCTGGTTTAGCTACCAAATGTTTTGTAGTTGGTAGAGGCCAAAAGAAGATAGTGCAAGAACCTGATTTTCCTGAGAATGTGTGAAGTTATGCACAACAGAAATTAAGTTTTAGATGCTTCTCAAATTATTCTGGAAGCAGTGCGTTGGCTTCTCAACCCAAAGAAAACCTAATTTCAAGTAAATACACTGGCTTCCTTGGATTAAGAAACACTTATAGATACAAATTTTTATATAAATTTGAAATAGAATATATATATATGACATCCTAAAAATGTTTCTCCAAAAACAGAAGAAATGCAAGATGACCATCACAACAACTTCACAAACATTTACAGCTACCTTCAACATTTGCTTCAAAGAGAATTTTAGGAAGTGAAAGTTGATTTTTCAGATTTCGGCCTTGAGAAAATCAATTTATTAATGATAATTATCTACCTACCAGCTTGTTCATTCAATCTGGCTATGTAAATCTTCATTTCAGATATGATTACTGAAATTATATATGAGAGGGGTATATTGGATCAAATAACCCATCAATTCATTATTAAAAATGAATTATGTTTATATGCATATTATATACTATTATATTCAAAGCTCAGAACAAAACACTGTAGAAGAAAGACAGAAGTCATATTCAAATTGGAGAGCTAAATACACATTAAAAATAATTAGCAAAAATATCAGCAACAGAAGATGGTAAAATATTTCTGTAGAATGATTTTTATAAATAATAAATATTATAGGACTACAGAATAGGGAAAGATTCCTATTAGGGTGAGTTGGGAAAAAAGAAGTTTGAACTAAATTATAAAATATAGATAGGATTTATGTAAATAAAGAGTAGATAATACTGTGAGTAAGCACAGAATACTGTGAGCAAAGGAAGGACATAGAAACTATAGGAAGAGAATTAGCAGATGACCATTTTGTTTCGCTATTGACACTGTAAACAGGAAGAGAAGAGAGATGAGGCAAGAATACCGAACATCCTAAACAGAAATGTGCTAATAAAAAAATGACACAGAATACATTCTATACTTAGTTTAATATAATTTTGGCTGATGAAGTTGGTCTCTCAAAATACTTCTAAGAATAGAAGAGGACAAGAATTGACAGAAGGCTTGAAAGTAGGACATTCATCCACCCACTTGACAACTCTTTACTGAATTCCTACTACACACCAGGAACATTATGTCCTAGAAATTGGGGATATAATGATGAGAAAGACAGACAAGAGTCTTATTTTCATGGATCTTACTTTCTGGTAGGGAAAAATAGACAATAAACAAAAAACCCCCCACAAATGTATAAAAAAAAGAGGTAAGATAATATAGATAGCATTAAATATGATATAAAGTGATGGATAGAAAGGGCAGTTAGGGAAAGTCTTTCAGGAAGTAACATTTCAGCTGAGATCTCAATGATGAGAAAAAAGCAGCAATGGGAGAAGACAGGGATGATTCTAGAAAGAAGGAACAGAAAGTACAAAGAGCTAGGCTTGTTCCAGGATCAAAACCACATGACATTACTAATAACTCAGTGATGCTTCTTTCCTTTTTTTTTTTTTTAAAGATTTTATTATTTATTTGAGAGAACAAGAAAAACAGAGAGAGAGAGAGAGAGAGAGAGACAGAGCATGAGAAGGGGAGGGGCAGAGGGAGAGGAAGGAAGCAGACTTTCCACTGAGCCAGGAGCCTGACTAGGAGCTTGATCCCCTGACACTGAGATCCTGACCTGAGCCAAAGTCAGACACTTAAACGGCTGAGCCACCCAGGCGCCCCAGTGATGCTTATTTTCATTTGAAACTGAGAAAAATCACAGAGAACACTACTCAATGTAGAAGCAAGGTGTGAAATTTGCTGTATTTACCTTATAGCCCTCTGCTCCAGGCTCTCCCCTCTCTCCTTGTTCCCCGACTGGGCCCTGCAGAGACCACGTGCAAAAATAATCAATTTCACAGTTGGATCTAAGTATTTGTGAATGAAGATAATACAGTTAGTGTGGAATATTTTTTTCCAAAAATATGAAACCAAATGTATAACAATTTGCTTAGTTCCACTAAATAATTTCAAAAGATTGAATTTCAATAAAAACAAGAACATCATAAGCATGGAATTATTTAAAGAGAATCTCATAATGATTCTGCAAGAAAAAATATTGAAGAAATGAAGTCCACTTAAACAATATAAATTTTCAGATGGATAAAATATGTTAGGCATGTTGGCAAAATAACTTGCATTTTTACTTAATGTTAAAATGATAGAGAAAGATTTAATCTGAATCATTCATTAATTAGAAGATTATATTTAATAATCTTATTGATTTATTTTTATTTTTTTGAAGTACAGTTGACATACAATATTATATTAGTTTTAGGCATACAACATAGGGATTCGACATTTATACACATTAGGAAATGATCACCAGAGTAAGTCTGGTCACCATCTGTCACCATATGTAGCTATTATAATATTATTGACTGTACTCACTATGCTATACTTTACATCCCAATGACTTATTTATTTTATAACTGGAAGTTTGTAACTCTTAATCCCCTTCACCTATTTCATCCGTCTCCCTACACTGTCCTCTCTGGACAGTTTGTTCTGTGATTTATGAGTCTGTTTATGTTTTGTTTGCTTTGTTTTTTTACACTCCACATATAAGTAAAATCATACAGTATTTTTTTTCTTTAACTTATTTCACTTAGCATAATGCCCTGTAGGTGCACCTACGTTGTCACAAATGGCAAGATTTCACTCCTTTTTATGGCTGAGTAGTATCACATTGTGTGTGTGTGTGTGTGTGTCTGTGTGTGTGTGTGTGTACATACTACATCTTCTTTACCCATTCATCTATCAGTAAACACTTACGTTGTTTCCATATCTTGGCTCTTGTAAGTAATGCTACAATGAACATATGGGTGCATGTATCTTTTCAAATAATGTTTTTCATTTCCTTCAGATAAATACCCATGTCGAATAGCTGGATCATACAGTATTTCTCTTTTTAATTTTTTGAGGACTCTCCATACCGTTTTAAATAGTGGCTACACCAATTTACATTCCCACCAACAGTTCACGAAGATTGGAATTTTTTCCACATCCTTGCCAACATTTATTTCTTGTTTGTTTGTTTTTTTATACTAGTCGTTCTGACAGCTGTGAGATGAAATCTCATTGTGATTTTGATTTGTATTTCCCTGATTGGTGATGTTGAGCATCTTTTCATGTGTCAATTGGCCTTCTCTATGTCTTCTTTGGAAAAATACCTATTCAGGTCCTCTACCAATTTTTAAAAAATCAGACTGTTTTATTTGTGTTGAGTTGTAGGAGTTCTTTATATATTTTGGATAATAATCCCTTATTGGATATATCATTTGCAAATATACTTTCCAATTTAGAAGTTTGCCTTTCTGTTTTTTTGAAAGAACTTTTTAGTTTGATGTAATCCCAATTGTTTATTTTTGCTTTTGTTGCCTTTGCCTGAGGAGACAGATCCAAAAAAATATTACTAAGACTGATGTTCAAGAGTTTACATCTGTTTTCTTTTGGAAGTTTTATGATTTCTGGTCTTACATTTAGGCTTTTACTTCATTTTGAGTTTATTTTTGCATGTAGTGGGAAAAAAGTAGTCCAGTTTCATTCTTTTGCATGCAGCTGTCCAGTTTCTCCAAATTATTTATTGAAAAGACTATCCTTTCCCCACTGTATATTCTTGCCTCTTTTGTCATAGATCAATTGATCATAGAAGTGTGTGTTTATTTCTGAGCTCTCTATTCTGTTCCATTGATCTATGTATCTATTTTTGTGCCAGCACCATAGTGTTTGATAACCACAGCTTTATAGTACAGTTTGAATCAGGCAGCATGATACCTGCAGCTTTGTTCTTCTTTTTCAAGATTCTTTTGGCTATTTAGGGTCTTGTCATTCCACACGAGTTTTAAGATCACTTGTTCTAGTTCTATGAAAAACCCTATTGGAATTTTGCTAGGAATTGTATTAAATCTATAGGCTGCTTTGGATAGTATGAACATCTTAACAATATTAATTCTTCCAACTCATGAACATGGTATATCTTTCTATTTATTGTCATCTTCAGTTCTTTCATCAATGTCTTATAGTTTTCAGAATACAAGTATTTCACCTCCTTGGTTAAAATTATTTCTAGAGATTTTATTATTTTCAATTCAATTGTAAATGGGATTGTTTTCTTAATTTCTCCTTCTGATAGTTTGTTACTATTGTATAGAAATGCAACATTTCTACATATTAATTTTGTATCCTGAAACTTTACTCAATTAATTTAGTAGTTGTAATAGCTTTTTGGTGAAATCTTTATTTTCCATTTATAGTATAATGTCATCTGCAAATATTGACAGTTTTATTTCTGTCTTACCAATGTGGATGTCTTTTCTTTCTTTTTCTTCTCTGATTGCTATGGCTAGGATTTCTAGTACTATGCTGAATAAGAGTGGTGAGAGTAGGCATCTTTCTATTGTTCCTGATCTTAGAGGAAAAGCTTCAGCTTACACCATTAAGTATGATGTTAGCTGTAGGTTTGTCATATATGGCCTTCCTTATGGAGGTTTTCATTGAGAGTTTTCATCATAAGTGGATGTTGAATTTCGTCAAATGCTTTTTCTGCATCTATTGAGAGGATCATATGATTTTTATCCTTCATTTTGTTTTTGTTTTTTTAAAGATTTTATTTGACAGAGAGAGAGAGAGCAAAAGGATTGGAAGCAGCAGAGGAAGAAGGAGAAGCAGGCTCTCCGCTGAGCAGGGAGTCCAATGTGGGGCTTGATACCAGGACTCTGGGATCATGACCTGAGCCAAAGGCAGACGCTTAACCAACTAAGCCATCCAGGCACCCCATCCTTCATTTTGTTAATGTGTGTATCAAGTTGATTGAGTTGAAATATTGAACCATCCTTGCATTCCTGGAATAAATCTTACTTGATCATGGTATATGATCCTTTTAATGTATTGCTGAATTCTGTTTGCTAATATTTTGTCAAGGATTTTTGCATCTATGTTCTTGCATGTATGTTCTATGTTCATCTATGATATTGGCCTGTGATTTTCTTTTCTTTCTTTTTTTTTTTTGTACTGCTTTATTCTGGTTTTGGTATCAGGATAATGCTAGCCTCATAGGATGAATTTGAAAACATTCCTTCCTCTAATTATTTTTTGAGTAGTTTGAGAAGTATAGGTATTAATGCCTCTTTAAATGTTTGGTAGAATTCACCTATGAAGCCCTCTGGTCCTGGACTTTGGTTTATTGGGAGTTTTTTGATTACTGATTCATTTTTATTACCAGTAATCAGCCTGTTCAAATTTCTATTCCTTCCTGATTCAGTCTTGGAAGATTATACATGTTTAGGAATTTATCCATTTCTTCTAGGTTGTCCAATTTATTGGCATATAACTATTTGTAGTAGACTGGGAGATGCTGTTTTTATTTTCATTTGTCTTCAGGTATTTTTTGATTTCCTCTTTAATTCTTCATTGACCCCTTGTTTGGTTAGTAGCATGTTGTTTAGCTTCCATGTACTTGTGGGGTTTTTTTCCAGTTTTTTTTTCTTGGTATTTATTTCTAGTTCTATACTATTATAATCAGAAAAGATGCTTGATATGATTTCAGCCTTCTTAAATTTATTAAGACTTGCTTTGTGGCCCAACATGTGATCTAATCTAGAGAATGTTCCATGTGCACTTAAGAAGAATGAGTGTTCTGCTGTTTTTGAATGTTCTCTATATATCCATTAGGTCCCTCTGGTCTAATGTGTTGTTTAAGGCTACTATTTTCTTTCTGGATGAACCATCCATAGATGTAAGTGCCCTACTTTATTGCATTACTGTTGATTTCTCCCTTTATGTCTGTTAATATTTGCTTTATAAATTTAGGTGCTCCTAAGTTGGTTGCATAGATATTTACAATTGTTATATCCTCTAGTTGAATTGATCCCTTTATCATTACATAATGCCCTTCCTAATGTCTTGTTACAGTCTTTGTTTCAATGTCAATTTTATCTGATATGAGTATGCTACCCAGGTTTTTTTCATTTCCATTTGAATGGAATATTTTCTTTTCCATCCTTTCACTTTCAATCCATGTGTGTCTTTAGGTATGAAGTGAATCTCTTGTAGGCAGCACATAGATGGGTCTTGTTTTTCTTATCTACTCAGTCACCCTATGTCTTTTGATTGGAGCATTTAGCCCACTTACATTTAAAGTAATTATTGAAAGATATGTACTTATTGCCATTTTGTTAATTGTTTCCTAGTTGTATTTGTAGTTCTTTTCTGTTCTTCTCTTGCTCTCTTCCCTTGTGATTTGATTTTTTTTTTAGTGGTATATTTGGATTCTTTTCTCTCTCACTCTCTTTTTTTTGTGAATCTATCATAGGTTTTGGTTTGCAGTTTACATGAGTTTCATATTTAACACCCAATGTACATAGCAGTCTATTTTAAGTTGATAGTTCCTTAAGTTCAAGCACATTCTAAAAGTCCTACATCTTTATTCTCCTTCCCCATATTTTGTGTATTTGTTGTCATAATTTACATTTTTTATTTTGTGTATCCCTTAGCTAATTACTGTAGATATAGTTATTTTTACTAAATTGGGGGGGGCAGAGGGAGATGGGGAGAGAGAGAATCTTAAGCAAGCTCCACACCTAACATGGAGCCCAACACAGATGGGGCTTTGCATTTAGATTATACAGCTACAAATAGTGCATGCCTACAAAATCATGTTATGAAACTAACAAAACAAAACTCCTTGAAAAGATGTGATTGGTGCTGTCAATCTATTATCTTCATTGCATTTTATCTTGAAACATCAAAATAATTTTAGAAAAAGACCTACTGGTTCACCTCGAGGCCCAGGTGGTCCTAGTACTGTGCTATCTTCTCCTGGATAACCCTGTAATGAAGATAATGATTTATAAACAAAACCAAATTAATAAAATAACCTTTGAAATATGCAGGCTATAATTGTCTAATATGTTATGAAATATACTAACTTTATCTAATTAAATGGAAAACTTTTACCTATAAAACTTAGCATAGGATATTTTATACAGGTGTGATTCCTATAGGTTCTAAGAAGTGTCAATCTGCTTTAATTACATAAAAAGCAGTTTAGGAATTTGCTCAAAGTTTCAAGTTTGCAATGATATTGTAAATCAACAGGAGTACTGTTGTAGTTATTCTTAATCCATAAAAAATTTTTACTACAAATGTACCAGTTATTTAATCTGTAGTCTCACAATTTCTTTGAATAAGTAATTAGTTTTACTTTTACAAAGCTTTACAGATTGCAAAGTGCTTTAACATATATTATTTCATGAATATCTTGAAACAGCCGAGTGAAGACATCTCAATGACTTGTTTACATTTTTGTCTTTTATTATTTATCTTTTAGAATTTGCAGTACTTCCCAAGTTGAAAAGTGTTTCTTTTATTCTTTGAAAATATTTCCATGCATATTTTCAGAAAGAACACAAAAATTTAATATTTAACTTTAGGATTAAAAAGTCAATATACACACATACCTTTTCTCCTTTAGGTCCTGGCAACCCAGAAAGTCCTGGTTGACCCTGATGGCCCTAACAAAAGGACAAGTAAGCAGACATTCTCCATATAATTTGTGCATGTTCCTCCTAATAACACCAAGGCCATCCTATTAGATATGGCAATATTCTGAATGAAAAACGAGATTTATTCTCTAGGGGGTTGAGGCCTCACTATACTAGAAAACTTGTTATCAGTGAGATTTCATCTTAATTTGCATATTTGAGATGACATCTTTATATAACTACTTTCATGTAAATGCATTTTAATTTCCAATTAGAAATGATTACCCTATATCCTGGAATTCCTGGTTCTCCATCAGGTCCCAACAATCCTAAATGTCCCTAAAAAACAAAGTAAATATTAGAGAGAAAACAAACAACTGTTCAAACTATTAAACTTATACTCATTATTTATTTATTTAGTACTTTTATTACTTAAAATTTAGATTTTTTGAGGTATAATATTTTCCTTAGTCTGAAATGGAAAACAAAAAATAACACTCTAACTTTTGTCTTATTTTTCTTCTGAACCACAAGAGTCCCACCAAAAACATGTCTCTGTAGTTTATTTCTGGTATGAATATTCTTAACCATTTTAAGAAAAATATTTTCAGTTGTTAGAATCTGATAGGTTTCTAGTAAGTCCTTGGAAATGTAGTTTGCACCTGTCAAAGTTTACGGTAGACATGCATCACTGAATATTAGAATATAGTCTGATAGTTTTCCATATTGTCACAATGGGATCAAGGAGAACATATTCATTGACAGTTTCAGATGCTTTGATGAACAAAGTTTCAGCTCTGGACAAACTTGTTAAAATAGAAATGATTGACAACTTATGTACAATAATCACCCTATTATTGCTTTTCTTATCAATATTTTGCAGATGAGGATACTATATAAATTAGGGCCAATTAATAAATGCCCCCAAAATACTGAAAATGTGACTCAGATAACTGAAAAGAGCAAAAATAATAATCCTAATAATGTCTTATCTTTCATACTATTAAAAAGTTTCCACATCAACTCTCCTATTTGAGTTTGAAACTAAACAGGAGATGAGAAAATTAAGGCATAGACTAGGTATATGCCTAACCAAATATCAAACTAGAAATTCTAAAAATGATTATTTACCCAAAGAACCCATGAGAACCACCTATCATTAAAGTGGATATAAAGTAAAAATATTGAAGTAAATAGGTATCTTACACAGCATCAATAAGAAGATATAACGGGAAAAAGGACTGCATTATAAATCATAAAATCCATAAGAAACTAACAATAAACCTAACAAGATAGAGGTAAGAACAGAATGAAGGAAATAGCAAAACTTTATTAAAAGGTATATAAGAAGATATAAGTAAATGGAAAGACATATAGTGCTTCTCTACTGAAAGATTCAATATTAAAGAACTTAAAGAACTGATTTTAAAGTTCACATGGAAGAGAGAATTGTAGTAAGAGCTGAACTTTTTAGAAAAATGAATTATGGAGTACTTGCCCTGACAGATCTCAAAAAATACTGTAATAGTAAAATAATTTAAGTAGTGTGGTATTGGACCTAAAAACAGACTAACAGAGTGACAGAAGAAAACAGAGAGAATGAAAAAAGCCAATAAATATTTGAGAGTTTAGTTTATGGTAAGGGTAGTATTTCAGAAAAGTGGGAAATAGATTGACTATTAAATGATTTTGAGACAACTGAATATCAATTTGGAAAAGAGAAAATCAGTTCTTTACAACTTATTTCATAGCAAAGAAATAATTTTCATATAAGTTAGGGGTAAAAATAAAGCTATAAAAGTATTAGAAGGACATAGAAGAGTGTTTTTATATACTTTAGGTGGGAAAGGCATTTCTAATGAAGAAATAAAACCTAGAACTGTAAAGTAAAAAACTGACAAATTTGGCTATATAATTAACCTTCTGTCCAGCAAAAGATATCACAAACAATATTAAAAGATAAATGATAGAAAGGGAAATGTATTTGTAATATATTTTATAACATTTAACAAAATATATTATCTAAAATATATAAGGCATTATTGCAAGTGAATAAGAAAAAAACAACCTAATATAAACCATGTAAAGTACACATGAAAAGGCAATTTCCAGAAAAAAAATACAAATTACTTAATTGCAATCAGGGAAATGTAAATAGAAAGAAAATGAGACACACTTATCAGATTGTAAAACAAAAGAGTTAATAGGAAGTATTGGTGGTGGGAGAGTGAATTTGATGAAACCTTTTGGGAAGGTTAAATATGTGTCAATATTTAAAAAGTGAATATTCTTTTTAAACAAATCCAAAGTAGGAGCCTACTTTGATGGCAAGACTCCAGATTAATTCTGATGTTCATTAAAAATTAATCATATTATATAAAGTACTTTAACATATAAGCCAAAAGCAGAGAAATATTAATAATTTAAATAAAAGGAAGTAAGAAAGACCTGAAGTAGTAAGATGAATATGTAAAACGAGCCTGAGACAAACTTTCCTCAGACAACAGATGGATTATGCAATGCTCTCAAGCAGGCGTTGGTAAAAAGTCTAGCATTTGTGACATTTAATGGAGAGTAGGAAATATACGTGCATTGTGTATGTAAGCTTATGAAACAGCGAAAACACTAAACACTAAATCACAAATATTCTGCATCTCTTGTGCTAGGACTTTCTGAACAGGTCCAAATATATTAGCAATAAAATTTTGCTATTATAGGTTCAGAGGTATTATGTGACCCTTGCTTCCAACATCATAAAAAGTTCATGCAAAAGATTAAATATTAGATGTTATAGATATTGATCACAGCTGGTTAAAAAAAATCTCCAGATAAGCATGTGGAGTCCAAGCTTATAAATAAAACCTTTAAATAAATCTAATTTTCGGGGCGCCTGAGTGGCTCAGTCAGTTAAGCGGCTGCCTTTGGCTCAGGTCATGATCCCAGGGTCCTGGGATCGAGCCCCACATCGGGCTCCCTGCTCGGTGGAGAGCCTGCTTCTCCCTCTCCCTCTGTCTGCTGCTCTGCCTACTTGTGCTCTCTATCTCTGTTAAATAAATAAATAAAAATCTTTAAAAAAAAAAATAAATCTAATTTTCAAAGCATTTTGCCAATCCCGACAGTGTAGTTTTATACAGATATTAAATTCTGATTTTAAGTGCAAAGAATAATATAAACTTTGAAAACTCATTTTTAAATAAACCTAATTTTCAAAGCAATTTGCCAATCCCGACAGTGTAGTTTTATACAGATACTAAATTCTGACTTTAAGTGCAAAGAATATAAACTTTCTTACTTAGGAGTTATAATCTGATTTTTTTAAAACTTCATTTCATATTTTATTTCCATTTCGAGTTTTTTTTTTCCCCTCTCCCTTTTCCATGTCCAGAAACCACTAAGCCATTTAAGTACTGTGGAATGCTTACAATTCTCCACAGCCCATGGAGGTAGATTATTTTCAATGGAACTATTGCTTTCTCTGTAAAATTAATCAAGGGATGAAACTTTAAGGACATGGATACATTTCTTTTCCATCCACAGTGAACTCAGGTCTGGAAACAAATCAAATACTAACCACAGCACCTCTAGTTCCTCTGGCACCCTTAGGACCACTTTCCCCAATTTGTCCAGGAGCACCTCTGCTTCCAATTTCTCCTGTGGGCCCTATTTGTCCTTTATCACCCTGTGGATGTCATTGGTAAGAGAGAAAAGTGAGAAAAAACAAATTTTTACTTAGATGAATTAACTGTATCATATACTTGGAATGACACCAGAGGATATTCTGTAAGCAAAATTCTGTAAATAGTAACTTTGCTTTAACTTAATAGTAGTGGAGACCATCACTGACAATAATAAACCATCACCACCTAGGTTAACTTAAAGATATAACTAAAAGTAATTTAGGAGAAAGAACATTTAAAAAATAATTTTGGCCTAATAAGCAGGGGAGATTTGGTGTTCTTGCTGAATTACAAAATAACCAAGTTTTTTATTTTGAAATTTGTTATGTATGTATGTTTGCATGCATGCATGTATTTCTTGTCATCATGAGAAAACATAGGCCCTATGAGAAGCCTGTTTCTATATACAGCTTCAATGCCACAAAAATCTATTTAATGCAAAAAGTTTCCAGTGTATGGTTCTGTATATTCAGAATCATCACTCACTTGTTTGGAGTCTGCCTTTAAAAATCCATTAACATTTCTTTTAATCGATAATATTTTTATATCATTTTGCATCCTTTTAAAAACTAGTTAGTTGCCTTCTGTTTTCCATCAAGCTGACTGATCATTCTCTACCACCAAAATACAGCTTCTTGGAAGCAACTTTAAGTACTATAATTCGTTTTCTGAAAGTGGGAAGCAACCTGTTCTATTGATATTCAAGTAGATACAAAGAAAAACTAGACTGTGATCACAGTCAGGAAGTTTTTGGTATTCATAATAATTCCCAGAGGTGCAGGTTATTGTAAGGACTTACACTGTCCCACTTCTAATGTTGATTTTAGATATAACATTATGTATGATGAAAAGAGACTTCAATATTGGGGTTATTTTCATGGGCAAGAATAGCTATTAAATATTCAAGTGATGAATCACTGAATTCTACTCCTGCAACTAATATTATACTTTATCTTAACTAACTAGATTTAAATAAAAACTTGAAACATTAAGAAAAAAAAGAATGGCTACTAAAATTTACCTCATTAATTTTTCTTTACCTTTTATTCTCACTTATACTGTCCCTACATTATGACAAAGATGGAGTGGGTGTATATTAGTAGAAATGATAAAATTAGACTTTGGGGACTAGATATGGTATGATTTGAAGCTCTAAATACAGTAATATACTCAGAACTGTTGTGATAGAATTAAGAAAATCATTTCTGTCTCACCAGTACTTGAATAAATTATTGACCCCATACAAAGAAGAAATTTTCATTATAACATTCTAGAATTTTATAAATATATCATTTTTTAGTAGAATATAAAAGAGACAAACCACATTCTTTATTTGTGATTCTTAGCCAATATATGGGAAAAATAAAATCAATCATTAACCTTTTCAATTTAGATAAACATAGTACAAATAAACCCAGAAACAATTCTAGTCATATTCCTTTCCCCTAACCATTGTACTAAAGTTGTTACCAAATACCACAAATGGCATAATGTTTTCCTTTTCTCTCCTTTCCTGCCCATAGTCTACTAACGAATTTTTGGCAAATAGGAAAAAGGAAAGGCAAAGATCTTTATACAAACTACAAAGTAGGAAATTTGCGTTTAAATAATTAAGGTGATGGGTACTCCTAAGTAGAGTTAAATATTAACTTATACAAAAATGCCTTTTAAGAACAATTTATAGTACTTTATTACTTTATATCCAGTGCAAATAAAAACATCACAACATCCTATGGAGCTTGGGCACATCAGAAGAAAGATGTGTCATAAAAAGATGTAAAAAACGAAAGAGGTAAAAAAAAAAAAAACAACCATAAAAAGATGTTTAAAAAATTACCTTTTTCCCTGGACGACCTCTTTGTCCTGGAATGCCCACAGTTCCTGCAGGTCCCTGGGTATCCAATACAAAAAAGAAAATAAACTGTTAAGGAAAGGACTAAACGGAGTGTTTAAATACTTACATCCCATAACCACTGAATTGAACACTATGTAAAAATGAGGGTTACTTTTCGACAATAAATATTGTTTGAATATTTATTTATTTTTAAAGATTTTATTTATTTTTTAAAGATTTTATTTATTTATTCATGAGAGACAGAGTGAGAAGCAGAGGGAGAAGCGGGCTTCCCACGGAGCGGGGAGCCCGATGTGGGACTCGATCCCAGGAACCTGGGATCACGACCTGAGCCAAAGGCAGACGCTTAACCATCTGAGCCACCGCGGCGCCCTAAAGATTTTATTTATCTTAGAGAGTGCGTGCACGAGTCGGGAGAGGGGAAGAGCGATAGGGAGAGAATCTCAAGCAGATTCCGCACCAAGCACCTAGCCCCACGTGGGCTCCCCTGAGATCATGACCTGAGCCAAAACCTAGAGTCCAACGCTCAACCAACTGGGCCACCCAGGCGCCCCTGTGTAATTGTTTAAAAATACGTCACAATGACTTAGAGGTCTAGCTGTTACTGGTGAGTAAAATTTACATATAGAAACCAACCAAGATAGATAAAATTAACCTGTTCTTTATTAGAGGAAAAACATTACTTGGTTTCAGTGTAACCCATTTTAATCGGTGAGAAAAGTAAACCCAGTGCATTCGTTTCAGCAGTTCTATGAGCTACTGTGGGTTCCAAATCTTGTTGATGGTACAGGATTATAAAATATATCTAAAACATGGTCAAGAAGAATCTCAAAATCTTATTGGAGTAGATTAGGAGATTTTCTTTAGTCTGTGGAAAAAAGGAGAGAGGGAAATACATGGAAAAAAAAGAGGTAGTCATATTAAACTGTTTAAAACAATATTTTCAGGGCGCCTGGGTGGCTCAGTTGGTTAAGTGACTGCCTTTGGCTCAGGTTATGATCCTGGACTCCCTGGATCGAGTCCTGCATCGGGCTCCCTGCTCAGCAGGGAGCCTGCTTCTCCCTCTGACCCTCCCCCCTCTCATGTGCTCTCTCTCTCTCTCAAATAAATAAAATCTTTAAAAAAAACAAAACAATATTTTCATTTCAATCTGTATTTTGTTTAGACAGAAATTTTTAATATATACTTCTTAAAAGTAAAAATTGGCTAAAATATTTCAGATGTCATGTGAATTTGCAGGTCAACAATAATTAGGCTTAAATAAGATCCACAGTAAGCCAGAGGATGCAAGTTCTAAAATGGCTAAGAATTAATCACAGCACTCCTTGCATTAGTTGGAAATGAAAATGGAAATCTCAAATTTGTGTCCCAAAGCTTGGCAAACGGCAAAAATGACGTAGACAAGAAATAAATTGCGGTTTACCACTGTGCTATGTGGGCTCTTGATAAATATTTGTTGAACGAATAAACAGATACCTAAGGAAGTGACTCATACCCTATGCTCCTGAGCAAATGCTCTTCTAGCCTCAGAAAGTCACTGAATTTAGAAGCCAAAATGGTTAAGTTCTATTGCTGTAGTTCTAGCTGCATCCAGAGGTTGAAATGATAGTTGCACTAACCCGAGATTTCTTTGTGGTTAATGTGGACTTTTTAAAAAGAGGCAGATTAATCTTCATCAGAGGTTAATAGTGTGAACTTTTTAAAAGTTAGACTGCTCGTTTCATATTCTGGCTCTGTACCTTACTGCAATAGGACCATAAATAGATTATTTAACTTCTAAAGGTCCCAGTTTCCCATTATATAAAAGAGGTAAAAAAATATCTTTTCAAAAGGTTACTAAGATTAAATGAGATAATGCATGAAATGCTTAGAAAGAACTGGACTTATACTGAAGAATTTAGCTCAGTGTTAGTTCTCACTAACTACTGTTGCCTTTTTAAGGTGTATTATGTAATATTTAGATATATATATAAAAAGATATTAGAAGGTACAATAAATACCCATGTACCCACCACCTACTTGAAGAAAAAGAAGCAATATACATATGTACATACTTGAAGTCCCTTTACACATACCTTTCCAAACGCGTTACCCTCTCTCTTCACTCAGGTGCAACCACTGCCCTCAATTTGTTTATCATTCCCATGCATTTCTTTATACTTTTACTCCATTTGAAATATATGGTTATTCTGCATCTTTTCAAACTTTAAGCGTACTTTATGTATTCTTTTGAAACTTTTTAAACACACATTTTGTTTTTGAAATTAATCAATGTCTTTAATCCATTCACTTTGTTTTTCATTCTACAGGATTCCATTTTCTTATCACAACTTATCACAACTTATTTAAACACTTTCCTACTGATAAATTTTTAGTGTGGGTTTTTTTTTTTCTGTTATAGATTATGTGCTGCAATAAATACCTTGTGCATCCCTCTATGTGCCATGTCAGTTTTGTTTGTTTGTTTTGTCTTTTAGGGTATAGCCCCTGAAGTTAAATTGCAGAGTTATAAAATATATGATATGCATCATCAAGTAGACAAGATATTGTTAAATTGTTCTCCGAAGTAGCTTTGTCAATTTACACTTCCACAGCAATGTTTGAGTACAATTACTCCAAATCTTCTGTAATGCTTGGTACTATCAGACTTAAAATATATCCATCTCATTATGGAAAATGATACAGTGTTGTGTTTTCAACTTGCATATTTCTGATTACTAAGGAGGAATGATTATCTATTCATATAGTTATCTGACATCTATATGTGACTCTCTGGCTTTTATCTTCTGTCCAGTATTCTCCTGAGCTATTCTTACTGAGTTATACATAAAAGGTTTTTTTTAAAATTATGTTATGTTAATCACCATACATTACATCATTACTTTTTGATGTAGTGTTCCATGATTCATTGTTTGTGTATAATACCCAGTGCTCCATTCAGTACGTACCCTTAAAAGTTTTTATACATATTCCTGATACTTGTATTTTGCTCATTCTATATAATACAGATCTCTTCTCTCAGCCTGCAGCTTATTTTCTCACTTTGTTTAACATAACTTTTGATTAATACAAGTTTGCAGTTTTAACGTAGTCATATTCATCAATATTTTCTTATTTCTTTCACTGTTTAGGAGATCCTTCTCCTCTCTCTCAGGTGTTCATGAAATATTCTCATAAATGTCCTCATATTTAACATTTTGATTTTCACAGTTAGGTCTTCAACTGGAATTTCATTCTTCTGTGTGTGTGCACATTGGTGTGAAGGAGCTGTTTTATTTTGTTTTCCATTTGGATAACCAATTGCACCAGTACCATTTATTGAATATTTCATCCTTTCCTTAATGATCTGAAATCTATAATCAATTTATTGAACTCCAAGTTTCAAAATATGCTGAGATCTGAGTCTAGGTTATCTTCTATTTCCACTGGTCTCTTCCTGTGAATGAGTATGACACTGACTAAATTACTCTAGCTTTAATAATAAGTTATGATATCAGATAGGCAAGTCCTCTCTTCCACGCACCGCTGTGCTCCCACCCTTTGCAACTTGTTCTTGAAAACTGTCTTGATAATTGGCCCTTTGTTCTTCCACATTCCTTTTAAAATCACTTTTCATGAATCGTGTCCTATAAAAAATTCTTATGAGGATTTAGACTAAAATTGTACTGGATTTATAGACTAATTTAGGGGGGGGATGATAATTTTTTGATATTGAGTCGTCCTATCCACAAATATAAAATATCTCTCCATTTATTTAGGTCTTTGTTAATAAACATTTTTTTTTTGATAAAATTTTGCAAATCTTTTGTTAGATATATTTCTAGGTGCTTAATTTTGTTGTTGATTGTATTGTAAATAGTATTTTTTTAAAGTTTTCTAACTGCTTGTTGATGGGGAAGAAGAATGGAATCTTTATTTTTGCATATTCTTATATTTAACATCTTGCTAAAATCTCATTAATTCTAATAATTTATCTGTAGATTATTTCTCTTGTTTTATTATACTGGCTGGGTCTCTGAGTAAATGTTGAAGAGAAATAGTGAATAGTGGTGATCTTTGCTCATTTCTTTGAAGTTTCACCATTACGTATGACAGTCAAAATGGATATTGAATCTTTAGAAATACTTTTTGTTTCATCTATTGAGATTATATTTTTTCTTTCTTTAATTTGTAGTTATGTGACTTAAACCTAAAATCCTTAAAAATGTTAGACTTCTGTTGCAATACTTGTATGAGAGGGAATTCATAAACGCTTTTCTTATATCAGCACTCCATAACTGCACTGAACTCAAATATTCAGGTGTCAGCTGACACTACTGTGTGGAAATGCTATCTGCCAACCAGTAATGCAGTTTAAGTATCATTGTGTTTATATATTTAAATATTAATAAAAATTTGTGCATAAAGTAAAAATTGACAAATTTAAGTCTCACAAACGTGTATAATCGAGAAATTTGTTATTATTCTGCAAGATGGCTTGCACATTCTTCAAACTTCCACTCTCACCTCATTTTCAAGTTAATAACCTTCCCTCATACTGCACTGAGACCAGCAGCAGTCAAGCAAGAGCCATCTCTTCCCAACACCGAACCTACCAGCACACATCCTTGTGTACGCACATATTGTTTCCCTTCTCTGACGAAGAAAGAAGTTTTCCTGTTTCTTCCCTGAGGCCAGCTCCTCACTGGCATCTAAACTCCATGTCCTTTTCAAGGCCTTCTCCTACACTTGCACTATCAATTGTTTTCTCTTAAATGAATCACTTCCAACAGCAACTAAATACGCCAGATAGCACTCATTTGAGAAAAATCCTTCCTTCACCTCACGTCCCTCCCTCCCTTTCTATTCACTCATTCAATTTCTCATGTACTTTTCTAGTTCCATTTTTGCTTCCCCATCATAGCAAAGCATTTTGAAAGATTTGTGTATGCTCATTGTCACTATTTCCTTACTTCTCATTCTGTCTTCATTTGGGCTTTTGTTCTTACCACAACTCTGAAATTGCTTCTTTTCGGAACTGACCTTCAAATAACCAA